ATGCTGTTGGGAAACACACTGGTGTGTCCCTTCGATGACACTCCCCTGTTTGTCACGCCACGGCGTAGCACGGCCTGGACTAATCCCAGCTGGTCCCGTAGTTGGAGATGGCTGCTGTCTCCCGGTGTCCGCCAGGCATCCGGGCAGATCGAAATGGGATTAAAAGCATTAAGTAAATGTCAAGCAGGCTTTGATGTAGCATGTGCAAATCTCAGTGTAGGCGGCCAGCTGTGCTTTGTGTGACTTCAGCTCTTGAGTTTTGAAGATCCAGACCATGACACCAGGGAAAGCCCCTGGCTCAGCACTTGAAAGTTTACAAAAATAAAAAAGAAAGTTAACAGAAGTGTTAAAGCAACTTCTGTAATAGCAGTGTGTTCTGTGAGCACAGGGCATGTGTGTGCGGCTGGGACTTAGAGCTGGTGAGTATAAATGACTTGCAGACTAAGCAGTCTTGTTACCTTTCCCCCGCTTCAGGAGAAGTTGCATCTTCTGGTACTTTCTGGTGGGATACACCTAGGGTCTCTGTTTTTAATTCAAGACTCCAAGTGCTTTCAGGCTTATAACTAGGCCATCACACTAGTTATAATGTAGGATAAAGGATGCACTTTATCCTACATTTATCCTTCATTGTCAGTTAATGGCAATTCTTTTTTTTTTTTTTTTTTTAAAAACCATTATCTTGGAATGAATCTGACACTAAGGCAAACACAAATGCAAGGGCTGGGTTAGGATGGGTGAGTTTTATTTACTCACAGATGGGACAGGAGGGGGCTGAGCGAGTGCGTGGCAGCAGGGATGAGCTTTGATCTGGGCAGAGGGAGCAGCGTCACAGATGACGTCCTGCAATGCCTGTCTGACTGCAGTGGCGAGCGGGTGTGAAGGGGCACCCTGGGGTGCTGCTGTGCTTCCTCGTCAGCTTCGTGCAGCTGCAACCCCCGGCCAGGCTTACACACCAGCTGGATCCCGGGAGCATCTGGGGGGTCCTGCAAAGGCTGGTGGCAGCAGGAGCGGGGTCAGGGACCCCACGTGGCCCCCTGCCCAGCAGTGCTGCCATGGCTGTTCTCGGGCCAGGCTGCGTCGAGCAGCGCTGGCCTGGGTCTGCCGTTGTCCTCACCAGCTCAGGCTTGCGTGCAGAACAGAGGAGCCGAGACAGTTGATCTAAGAGGCAAAGACAGGAGGAGCAGGCAGTGCCGCAGGGAGTGTTTCTGGGTGAGCAGACATGCTTACCCTGTGTCCTCAGGTTGTGCTTTAAACAAGGAGCGTGTTTAAAAAAAGACCTGTTGTGACCAGCTGAGCAGGAAAGTGCTGTGAGTGCGTTTCTCATCACCCCAAGGATGCAGGAGGAGGAGGAGGAAGGGGTGACTAGCTTGCATGCAGCATCAAATACAGCGGGGCTGTGGTCCAGGCCGGGAGCGTAGGCACCACTGTACTTGCACACGTGGAAAGGCACGTAGATCCTCCTTAAAGCTGCATCTAAAGCTCTCTTCCCTTTCAGTTATTGCTGGTATCTAAACTTTAGCTCGCACCTCCATGGAGAGCACGCAAGGCTTGACTAACCCAGGGCAGCTCTGCGCTGGCGGGGTCTGCGTGGGCCAGCAGCCACCGGTGCCCCAGGCAGCCGCTGACCCCCTGTGCTGGCGTCTGCAAGACCTCTGGGCCCCATCTGCATCCCCTGCCGGGATGTGGCTAACCCTCCTCACTTTTTATTTTTCTCTGCAGCTTGAAGGATGCAAATGACCTGCCAATCCAGTGTGAAATTTCCCCTCTCATTTCCTACGGGGGTGAAGTGAGTACTGGCTCTCCAGAGCTCGGGCACCCTTGCGGATTAACTAGGCGGGTGGAGAGGCTGGCAGGACATGCATGGGAGACCGGGCTGGGGAGGGGGTAGCCGCAGAAGTGTGACTTGAATTCACTGTGGAGCTTTTCAAGGCAGTGTCCCCCAAGCCAGTAGCATGGGAGGGGACCAGAGCCACCTGGGAGCAGCTCAGCAGGTCAACAGAGCAGGGGACGCGGGGTGCATTCCTAACGGGCTGCTTTGTCCTCCCTTAGGGTCTGGAAAAGTACGTGAAGGACCGGGAGTTTCGCGCACCTTTGATTATCGACGAGGATGGGATCCATGAGCTGGTGAAGAACGGGATGTAGCGGCGGCATGGTGCCCGAGCCGGGCTGCCCATCCCACCTGGTGGGCTGGGAATTTGGACAAATGAAGGTTTATAGCTGTAACTGGTAGGGGCTGATCCTGCTCGCTCTGGTCCTGTGCAGAGGAGGATGTAACCCACTTGGTTCTTGGCATGTTGTACACTTCTATTTATATTTTAATTTAAAAACCAAACGCTTTATGGATTTCCCCTACCACGAAGCACAGTTATGGCACTGCTCTTTGCACTCCAGGCTGTCGGCATTTATTTTTAAACATGTATATAGTAACGGTCACTGTACATGCAGAGGATTTTTATGGTACGGGGCGGGGGTTAATCTTGAATTTTTATTTTTCTCAAATCTACATGACTATTTTTTTTAATAGGGTCCTTGTCATTGCCCATGTCCTCCCTTTTGGTCATCCTTTGTACGTTGCGCAACTGGAAACACCCGATTAAACTCTGAGTCCCTCCTGTCTGTCATCTGGTGGTGGGTTAGTGACAGTGGCTTTCCCTGCAGAGGCTCTACTCATAGAGCAGAGGTCCGACTGTGTCGCACCGAGCACACCGCTCTGCCCAGCTGCTGCCTGGGGGGGGGTCGCAGGCAGGTCCTCTGGCCTGTGGCATTTGTATGCTGTGTTTCTGGAGGAAGTGGAGGGCTGTGCTTCCCTCTTGAATTGCTGCAAGCGGTGGCAAGCCTTGGGCAGGTAGGAATGGGTGGATGTGCAACGCACCCGGCGCACTTGGGGTGAAACCAGCCTGGCACGGTGCCGTCCAGCAGCATCGCCAGCCCTCTGCTTTTCCAGGGAGGGCTCCAGCTCCTGCCAGAGCCCACTGCCCCGAAGCGTGGTGTCCCCATGCCCTTGGGCAGAGCAGCTCTGCTGCCTCCCCTCCTTTTTAGGAGGGGAGATGGTGCTCGGCCGGCTCCTCTGCTGCTCCCAAGTCCTGCTGCAGCCACTGGAGTGGGGTGACACAGCTACCCACTGCCCTGCGGCTGCCTGGGGAGGGATTTTCCCTTGCAGGGCTGGGAAGGGGGCACACAGTGCTTCCCCCTGGCAGAAATCACCCAGTCCCCCAAGTGCCAAGGTGGCTACTGGGTACCCTGGGCTCAGCCGAGAACTTGGCTCCCCAGGCAATGTGCCTGGGAAGCTGGGGCCATGAGGGGGGTCCTGGCCGGTGCCGTG